ATTGAATGTCATCAGTTATGCCAAAGAGCCTGGAAATAGAGCTGCAGAGAGACGGTTTGGACCCCCTCCCACCAAGTGTATCAGGTAAATGTTAACTAATTACTAAATAAAAATGTGTTCTGCACTATCTTTAAAATATTGATTTTTTAATTTTGGGTTGGAAGAGTGGGGGTCGTCTTGTACATGGGGGCGTCTTATAGATGAAAAAATACGGTAATATAAAAGAACTAATTACTAAATAAAAATGTGTTCTGCACTATCTTTAAAATATTGATTTTTTAATTTTGGGTTGGAAGAGTGGGGGTCGTCTTGTACATGGGGGCGTCTTATAGATGAAAAAATACGGTAATATAAAAGGAGCAGAAATAAAATGTATTTGCATTCCCTCCCACATTCCTACAGGCCACTCTGCCCTTGCAATCTTTCTACTGCATATGCACAGATGCCTACCGTATGGCCTTGCCTTCTTCCTATCCATCCCCCCATAACATTTACAGTGACTTTCCTCCCTCTTTCCCATCAGCCAGCCCACCCTGATCTTCCCATCACACACCCATCAATCTTCAGGGTGCTTCCTTCCTTCCCATTCTCCCTACCCACTTTTCAATCTTCCTGCCACACAGGAATCTTCATTGTTCCTCCTTCCTTCCTTCCCATCAGCATATCTATCCATGTCTTCGCAGTCCATTAGATTCTTCATTGAAAAATATAGTCTTTTTAAATTTCACATTTCTTTTCATGCAGATACACACACACACACACCACTTTGAGAACCCTGGTGGTAGGTAGGCATTTGAAATTGCCTTTTTGGATTTGCTGGAAGTAATGAAGAAAGTAAAACATTTACTTCAAAATAATTACAAATGTACTCCTCTCAAGTTGAATGTAAGTGGAATTAATATACTTGCCAGATAGTTGTACAGCCTTGTTTCTAAAAATGCCTGTACTCTTTTTAAATTACAGTTTGATTTAAAATATGCTAAGGAATGTGAATTGAGGTTCATGTGTTGATGGAAGTGTTTATATTATTGGCTATAGAATTCATATTTAACATGTGAATCTAATATGCTTATAAAAGTCAGTTATTTATGGTTCTGCACAAATGTAATGTAACTTTTTTTTTAACTATTTGTTTTAAGGTTAAAATCTCACCAGGGCTAAAGAAACTGTTTGTCATAACAGCAGTGAGTGCAGTAACTGTGCTTTTTCTTGCCCATCATTTCAAAAGAAAACGTGGGAAGAAAACCAGGAAAATATCTCCATGGGAATCAGGCCATCTGATGTTCGATTATGCAAAAACATTTGGGTCAGAGAAAAGTAGGTGGCATTTTCTCTACAGAAAGCTAATATTCAAAGAGAGTTATCTGATAGAGATTTATTCGGGAGTAAGCCTTATTGAACTGAGTGAGACTTCATTTCAAAGAAGCATCATAGATCTATACTGCATAGCTTACATTTACATGGAAGCAAGTGTAGCTGAATAAGTAGAGCGTAGTCCTAAGGGATCATGTGAGACTGGAATGAAATGTATCGGATTATACATGGAATGTAAAATAATTTTATTATTTCAGTCTCGTATAATCTTCAGCCCTACAAAGTAGACGAGACTAAGAAACCAATGGCATATAGATCAGGACTACTTTTATTGTAACAGCTGTAGTAACAAAATCTTGCAAGTCTGAATGTGCTTCCTCCCCTCAATTTAACTTTGTGTGAACTATGGAGGGTCTTGTCTGAGATGTTTTTTCAAGTTTCTTTCTTGTTCTGGGTTCAAGCCCTGCTTATCTGACTATTGCCTTGGCAGTGGCTCTTCCTCCTATTCTTCAGGGCCATTCCCTTTGTCCTCCACATAATCTTATCTTCAATTGAATTTGCTTCCATATAATTCTAGCTACATTGTAATATATGCTGATGAATTAGATACTGTGCATCCAGTGGTGGTTTCATTTCACATCCTCAAATCATGTAATGTACAAAATGTGCACAACTCCCTGCAGAAAACAACAGACAAAAGCAAAATGGTCAATGCTCACATATATAATATCTCATTATCCATATACATTTATTTCTAAAATAACATTTATTTTAAGATTTTTCTAAACTCTTTTTCCTTAGTTAATGGAAAAAAAGATGCACATAGATTTACACTATTAATCATCTTCTTTACCTCCTCAGATTCCAGTTGTTCCAGCAGCAAACAAAACCTAACACTTTCACTGACTTCCATCAAAGAAAAAGGTTTTCAATCTCACATCAACGTAAATGGTGATCTCTTCAATAAATATTCTGGTTCAGTGCAGAGTTTGGCCTCAGTAAGTGCAATATATTGAGAACTATTATATGTATTTTATGAATAAACAACTGATGATCATTTTCTTTGTCTTCAGGAACCCTTTAAAAAAAGCAAATATTCACATACTTCTCTTTTTTGGAAAACTTTTCACTGAAAATAGCGTATTAATATTTCCAAATAAATTGTTACCTCTTTTCCTAGAATATGGAAATCAGTTATCCATGGGCCCACAATTATCTGTTACTTCCTCATTTTCCGTTTTATACATGTTCTTCCTCCTCGTAGTATTTGTCCCCATGGTTGCAGGGACCACTTATTTTTGCACTGCTCTCACCCAGTCCTTATAGGATAGCTTAACAATGCATGATGTGACAAAGAGTTATTGTTTCTTGGTCAGTTTGTCACAGAGCCTGACATTGATTTGGCCAAGAGGGAGTGACTGACCCAATGTCACCCACTTGGCTTCTGAAGACTAGAAACTCTAATCGCTACATCACACTCCCTCTGCCTCTGATACTTCTGTAATATACAATTTAAAAAAAAAGTTAAAGAGAAAACTTTTTGCCATCTACCGTACATGTTGGCGCTGTTGTGCCAAACTTCACCACAGACAGCCATTGTGTTGGCGATGGATGGGGACAGGAAGAGATCTGTGCAAGAGATCATTACAATTGTGAGGTTGATGCTACCCACATATATGAGCAGTGAACAGACAAGGAATGGAAAGAAAGTATTAGAAGAGGGTAGAATGAGATTTTTCCAGGTTTTGGAAATTGGGTAGGTAATAGAAAGGAGATATTTGTTTCTAGACAGAAATAAATTGTTCATGAAACCAAAGGGTAAGATAGAACTACTAGAAATATATTGTTATACTTCCCTTGACTTACATGCACATTTTTTTTTAATTAGGTCCACAGTGCCACCTCTTGTCCTAGTTGTGTTTGTGTGAATTCTAATTCTTGGGATAAAACAGATGAAGATAATATGAAGCTAGTCAATATTCCAGTAACTACTCCAGAAAATTTATACTTGATGGGTAAATATATAATATTTTGGCATTATTACTAGAAATACATTATAACAAAATAAAATAAGTAGAGTTTAAAACATTTCACCATTCAGTGCAAATGATGATATGCTGTTGTAAAGAATAATTAGCATTCTCTTTTAAAAAAAGATATGGTTGCATTGCTTTTTAATAGATGTTGTCTAAAAGTATGACATGCAGATTCACAAAATGCTTTCTTATGGAATCTCAAAAGATTGATTGACTGATTATGTGCCATCAAGTTAGTGTCCACTCTTAGCGACCACATAGATAGATTTTGTCCATGATGATCTATCCCTAACCTGGTCTTTCATGTCTTTTAACTCATCGCTACTGTAACTGAGACCATTCCACCTTGCTGCTGGTTGTCCTCTTCTCTTTCCTTCCACCTTTCCCAGCATTAGAGATTTCTCCAGAGAGCTAGGTCTTTGCATAATGTGTCCGAAGTAGGATCATTTGAACCTGGTCATTTGTGCCCCTAGTGAGAACTCTAGCTTGATTTGTTCAGTGATTCATTTATTTGTTTTCTTGGCTGTCCACAATATTCTCAGGAGTCTTCTCCAACACCAAAGTTCAAAAGCATCCAAACTCTTCCTATCCTGCTTCTTCAAAGTCCAACTTTCACTTCCATAGAGTGTCACAGAGAACATCATAGCTTGCACTAGTCTGATCTTTGTAGGTATAGACACGTCATGGCATCTGAATATCTTTTCCAAGTCCTTCATGGCTGCTCTATCAAGTGCTGGTCTGCAGCGTATTTCTTGACTGCTTGTTCCTTTACTGTTGATGATTGATATTCTCAGGAGTCTTCTCCAACACCAAAGTTCAAAAGCATCCAAACTCTTCCTATCCTGCTTCTTCAAAGTCCAACTTTCACTTCCATAGAGTGTCACAGAGAACATCATTGCTTGCACTAGTCTGATCTTTGTAGGTATAGACACGTCATGGCATCTGAATATCTTTTCCAAGGCCTTCATGGCTGCTCTATCAAGTGCTGGTCTGCAGCGTATTTCTTGACTGCTTGTTCCTTTACTGTTGATGATTGATCCTAAAAGGCAGAAGTTATCTACCACTTCAGTCTCTTCATTATCAGTTCTAAGGTTGGTTGCTGTACCTGTTGTCGTTGTTTTGGTCTTCTTTATATTTAATTTTTGTCTCATTTTTTCACTATGCTCCTTGACTTTTATTGCTAGACTTTGCAGATCCTTTGCATTTTCGCTATTAGAGTAGTATCATCAGCATAGCACAGGTTATTGATGTTTCTTTCTCCAATTTTAAAACCATGCTGATCTTTTTCCAATCCAGGTTCCCTTAATATATATTCACCATATATGTTGAATAAATAAGGGGAGAGTATAGAGCCTTGTCTCACTCCTTTGCCAACCTGGAGCCAGTCTGTTTCACTATGTTCTGTCCGTACTGTGGCTTCCTGACCTGTATATAGGTTTCTCATGAGAACAATGAGATGTTCTGGGATTCCCAGATTTTTCTAAGCACATTCAATGACATGATTGACACAATTGAAGGCCTTTCTATAATCAGCGAAGCACATACTGACTTCTTTTTGGTATTCTTTGGCTTTCAATGATGTCTTGTGTTCCTCAGCCTTTTCTAAAGCTAGCTTGAATATCTGCCATCTCTTTTTCCATGTAGGACTCTAATATGCATTGGATGATCCTAAGCATTATTTTGCTAGTATGTGAAATCTCATAAGAGTTGTCATAAAATATAATTCTTTGTTAAACTGATGAAGTATATCATGACATTCTCTTTAGCAAACTAATTAAGTACTGCTATATCTATGAGGTAGATCCACAGCTGGTGTCAAGCTTCAGCTGGAGGCTAGACTGGAACCCTTAGGTAAACTCAAAACAAAATCCAAGAACTGAGAAGAAATAATCTTATTGAAGGAAGTTGATAACCAAGGCCAAACGAATTTCAGCATCTGTAGCTAATCATAAACTAGCCTTATTTATAAGGACAATTTTCAGATCTTATGTTTAGTTTTTTGTCCCATCCTACAACATTCAGGCTTGGTTTCGTCTGGTTTCTCACTTGATTGTGTAAGAATGAACTCTCCCATTTGTCTTGAAAAGCATACTCAGAGTGATCATTAATGGTTCCTCCTCAAATTGTACTGAAGTGTTGAGTGGGACACCACAGGATTCAATTCTAGGTCTTCTACTTTTCAACATTTTCTTTAACGATTTGGACAAAGAAGTGAAGGGAATGTTTATAAACTTTCATATAATACAATGTTGGGTGACATGGCTAATACGCTGGAAGACATAGGTTAAATTCAAAATGATTTTGTTAGGTTAAAGAAATCAGTTGAAAATAAGAAATTTAACTGAAGTAAATGCAGAATGTTTCAATTCGGAAAACAAAATCAAATGCACTGACATAGATGGGAACTACCTGGTTTGATAGTACTTATGAAAAGAAGCATGGAATAATAGTTGATAACAAGCTGTTTTAAGCTGTATTCTCAGATATAGTTTCCAAATCTCAAGAAGCAATACTTTGACTATATTCTGCAAGCATCAGCACCTACCATGAGTATTGCATCCAGTTCTGGGCTTCACACTAAGAAGAATTCAGGCAGACTGACTCAACTGTAGAGAAAAATATTATTAGGCAACTGGAAACAGAGACTGAACGAATCTGTTGATCAAGTTTGATCTTGAGAAGAGAAGACTGATGGGAGACATGATAGCATTCTTCAAATCCCTGAATTAGTTTAGGTTGGATTATTGCACAAAGCAAAAGGTTGGACCCTGTGGGCTTCATGGCCCCATTCAACTTTATGGTTCTATGCATATGACGTATTTATTCTTAAAACAACTCAGTGTGATGGAACCCAAAGCCATCTAATTGACCCTTTTGACTATGCTTACTGGGATGTTAAGGGTTGTATTCCCAGCACATCTTCAGGAAAATAAACTGGGGAGGGGGGAGAGCTAATTGAATCCAAATCTCATGTGGGATTTAGAAGTTTGACACTCTCTCTCAGGGCTTCCTGTCCTGTATGTGTAGTACAGTGTGCTTATAATTAATGAAGAGGTGATTCATACCTACAGATAAAACAAAGGAAATGTGTGATACAAGGAAACATTACAATTCTTTCAGGAATGGAGTTATTTGAAGAAGCACTGCGCCGATGGGAACAGGCATTGACTTTTCGTAATAGACAAGTTGAAGATGAAGCCAGCTATAGTGCCATCAAACTTGGAGCAGGTGATGCTATTGCAGAAGAACATATAGAGGTGAGAAGGTGTCAGCAAAATTTGCTATTTTATGAGGTTAGTTTATGCAGTTTTTTGGGGGGAGGGGGGACATTTAAAGTATATTCCACTTTCCACTGAAGACATTGAGAGAGCCAGATTTGTATCTGCAATTTGAGTCAATGCTCTCCCAGCCATATGTTGCTTACTGTATATTGTCATTCTTCCTCAATACCAAATGACAATGAACTATTTGTTATAATTTTAACCTCAGAAATATTTAAAAAATTATATATACCAAATCTTGTATTAATTTTGATGCACATAGCAGTTTTTAAGTATTAAAAAAAAAACTACATGTAAACTCACAGAGGAAAAAAAATTAAACATTTCATTGCTTTAAGGACAAACATTTTGGGTTTCCAGCCTGATGTATTCTTTACTTAGCTTTTGTGCTAAGTAATACATTTATTATATATGGAAGCCCTGTGAGCTCAAATGGAAATTTTTTGTGCATATATGAGGGCTGAACCATTTACATTTTTTTCCTGAAGGATACATCTAGAAGTAAATACGCTGGTATTGTCTAATTTGACTGGGTTAATAACGTAATTGCTGCTTTATGTAATTCTTCCGATCCTGCTGTTCTTGCCTATCATGTTGCATAAATAATCACCACAGTAAATTAATCAACTGAGCATCTCAGCATTTCCATTAGCTTCTTAAAATATTAGCTTATATCTTGCAATTTCTATTTACAGGATATCATTAGTGCAGAGTTTATCCATAAGCTTGAATTTTTGCTCCAGAGAGCTTATCGCCTTCAGGAAGAATTTGAAGCCTCCCTTGGAACATCTGACCCAGCTTCCTTTGCCAATGATGCTAGTGAGTTTTCTTGTTTATTAAGTTTCCATATTTCCTGACACAGTACAGAAACACAGTACACACAGCTGGGATAATGGTAAATGAATTACTTGTATTTTGATTTCTTACTTTTGCATAAACAGAAACAGAGCTGGTTTTATTCCCATAATCATGAAAGTAAGCATAAGAAATATTTGGAGTAATTTGTTTTACAGATATATGCAGATAAAATCCAGATGTTTGCTAGCCAATGAGTTACCTTGGTTCTCTTGTATTTAGGTCGTGACTGATCAGATGTAAAATTGAGTATAAAACATTTGATGGGTTCTTGAGTATGATGCAGTATATTGTTAGCAAACCATGATAAGACTTGACTGAATGCTGTTGTTGTCTTTTTAGAAAAATGAATTACTATATTGATTCCAGTTTGTTCCTGGGAAATTTGCTTTTCAAATAGTCATCCTGTTTAATTGAGGCCAATCGTTAGAGGTTTTAGCAGGTGGTAACACCTTGCTGATCTTACCTGGGCTTGGAAACTCTGTAGAATTGGACCTGATTAGTATTTCTATGGGAGACCATCAGGGATTACCTGGGCTATAGGTTAGATTTGGAACTTGAATCAACATCCCACAAGAAGTCAATGGCAAGTCACTTCTGTTTTGTAGCCAAGAAAACAATATGAGCATGTTCATAAAGTCACCAGGACTTGAGTTCAAGTGGAAGGAGACTTTATCTAGTTATCGGAGGCAGTAGATAATTTCATAAAACTATGAAACCTTAGTTTTGACAAACTGGCAACCAGAGGGTTACTTAGAATTGGTTATAAATATACCAAGCAACTCACCCCTGTGAAATGCAAGTCATGTTTTTTCTAAAACCAAATTATAACTCTGAAGTAAGAAAGCCACTAGAGGTCAGAACTCTTATTATTTTGATGTGCCATTTGAATGTACTTCCTTGGATACAGTACCTTTAAATTTAGTTTTCTAGTACCTTCTAGAGTAGCTCAGGAAGGACCCTGGGTGTCTGATCTCATGCTATAAATGATACTATTATATGTTACAATTGATGCACATATCCAATGTTCAACATCAGTTCCTTTTTAAAGTTTTCTTTCCTGTCAGGTCAGTAGCTTCTACTATTTTCAAAGACTTGAATAAATTTCACAGTATGTCTGAGATATAATTAGAAGAAAAATTATATTACAAATTATTGTTTAAAAAAGAAACAGCATATTAACATTTTTTACACTTTTTTTATCATGGCTATATAAATTGGTGGTCCCAGGGATGAAAAATTCAACTTCTTGTTGCAGCTACTTCTCAACAGTATATAGAAAAAAGTTGAAGGCTTTTTAATAGGTTGTATCTAACATGACCTTTTGTAATACTTGTCATAGCTGATGTTTTAATTACTTTATTCCTATTTGCTATGGACACACAAAGTTGCCAAATGTAGGTCTTGGGTGAACCCAGAGGACACCCTCGTCCAACTGTCTGGAGAGGGACCTTTTTTAGTTTCTACTATTGCTCCTATATAGGGATAAATCTACAATCTTCTATATTCATCACAAGCTCCAAAGAGGACAGATTCATATTCATTCTCCTGAGTTCTTTGGTATATTATTGTTCACTGCTCTCCTTGGTGGGACAGGGTCTGTGGCGAGACTACAAAAAAGAACCTCTATCAAGAAGTGTATTCCTCAATAGCTCACATAATCTAATGAAGATGGCAGAGAAATGAAAAGGTGGTTCATAAATGCATAGGATTGGCATGCTTCTGGCTTATGTTTACTCCGTGGTCTACCAGGACATCCAGATACTTCTCACAAATACTACTGTTGAGCCAGATATTTAATATATTTCTATCCTACTGCACTCAAAAAGACTCTTGATGGCTTACACTGAATGTAAAAAACCAATTAAAGTAGAAGTTAAAGATGGCATTATAAAATCAGGAGAAGGCTCTCCAAAACAACTCCATCTTTAGTAGCTTATTTCATACTCCCTATCTTGAAGTTGGGCATCTTGTTTTTGGTACTAAGTGCAGAACTTTGCATTTCTTGCCATTGGACAAGAAATGCCATTGTTGGGAAGGGCCCAAGATTCAAATCTATCAAGAACTTTTTGAAACGTGAGCCTGTTTTCTGATGTGTTCATATCCCCCCACCCCCCAAAGCTTTGTATTGTCTACACATTTGATGACATCATTTATTAAAATGCTGAAAAGGACTGGGCCCAGGACAGAACTGCATACCTGCCTTCAAGTAGACACAGACCCACTAAGAACCCACAAACCCACACACTGGATATGGTTATTCAACCAATTGTAAATCCATCTGATAGTGAGACAATCCATCCTACATTGTTCTATTTTATCAAGAAGGAGTCTATGATCAACTTGATCAAATGCCTTGCTGAAGTTGAACTAAACTACAACTAAAGCATTCCATTGGTCCACTAATCTATTCACTTTATAAAAAGAAAGAATAAGACTTGTCTGGCACAAACTGTTTTTAACAAACCCATGTTGGCATCACATTGCTATATCTCACAATATTAGCTCTTCTCCCATCTTCTGGCATTTCCCCTGTATTCCAGAAGTTCTCAAAGATTACAGTCAGTGATTCTGATAGCACATCCGCCAGTTCTGTTAACAGCTTGGGATATAATCCAACTGGACTAGGAGACTTGAATATGATTCAAAGCAGCTAGGTGTTCTTTCACCAATTAGTTACCTATTTTGACCTGCAAGTCTCTTCTGCCCCCCATTCCCTGCAATGGTGTAGCTTCTGACAGGTTGGACCACTTTTTCCTTTTGTGAAAGGACAGATGCAAAATAGGAATGAAGCATTTCAGCTTTGTCCCTGTTGCCCATCATCATCTTGCATCTTCTCCAACCGGCAGGCCCACTGCTTCCTTTACTTTCCTCTTGTTTTGCATGTATCCAAATAATGCCTTTTTTCTTTTTTTTGTGGATATTTTTGGTGTTGATTGCAAGTCTGAGATCTTTCTGAGTCTTAGCCTTCCTGACCCTGTCCCTACAGATTTGGGCTATTCCCTGATAATCTGTTTTAGTTATATGTTGTTTCTATTTTAAAAACTTGTCCTTTTTGTTTCTCATGTTGTCAAAGAGCTCTTTATGCAACTACACCAGATTTACCAGGTGTCTCCCATTTTTCTTTCTCTGATATTGTTTGTGGCTGGGCTTCATTTATTTCATTTTTCAGGATTTCTCAACTCTCCTAAACTTTTTTTGCCCTCAGGATTTCCATCCATGGAATCCTTCCTAGTTTTTGTCCCTTAGCTTATTGAAGTCAGCTCCCTTGAAATCTAGTACTCTCATCTGATTGCCTTTAGTTTTCCTTGACTGCAGTATAGTGAATTGTAAAATTGCATGGTCAACCTCTCCCAAGGTTCCTACAACTTCTACTTCTTTAACCATTTATTCCCTGTTAACTAGTATTAATACAAATATCATGTATGTATTTGTAGCTTAGCTCAAAAAAGAAAAGAAAAATGATGGATTTAATGTGGGAAACATTATATACGTATGTTTTCCCTAGAAACCAGAGACATCTGATGTATTGCCAGGACTAAATATCTAGTTTGACTTGCTCAATTAATTTTGTCTTTTGGATCCATATCTCTGTCTCCACTATCAGCATATGACTAATAAGATTTTCAAAGCAATTTGTCTCCTAATATGGGAAATCTGCTGTTTCAAGGGAGAAAAATCAACACATTTAGATTATGTGTTTTCAGTAAGCTTTTTTTTTTTTTCTATTGGTTTACTTTTTTCTCTATCACGTGAAATTTTAGGCTTGAATTATATATCTGACAGATTTCTCTCTTTGAATTCAAATGTGTATACAAGATATATATTAAATAAGAACCACAATCTCAACCCTATCAATCTGTTAGGTTCCATAGTTTATTTAACTGAATAGTTGAAGAACACAAGGCAAGAGCTAACAACAACTTTTTTGGCATTGCAAAATAGCTATATCCTGCCAAAAACAGCATAACCTCAGACACAATAATGAGAAGAAAACTTGGCAGGAAAGACTTAGTAATGTTGTAATAACACTAGGAGAATGGGGTCAGTAAGGCTAAAAATTTAAGACCTTCTGTTTTCTTATTCTCTTCTGTCTGAAGATTCAGCCAAATTGAACATGAACATCAATAGGGAATAGAATAGTTCTATGTGGATTTGGTTAGAACGGTGTTTTCAAACTTGACAACTTTAAGATGTGTGGACTTCAGCTCCCAGGATTCCCCAGCCAGTATGGGAGTTGAAGTCCACTCATCTTAAAGTTGCCAAGTTTGAAAAACACTGAGTTAGAAGAAAAAACGGCTATACGCAAGCAATATGTTCTTTTGGCAAAAGAGAGAGAGAAAAGAAAAAAAAAGATTATCCTAATTTTGCAGATTAAAATATTAACATTGTGTCAACAGAGAAGAAAAAGGGCAAAGCTTTTGTTTGCTTGTTTCCAATGCTAAATGCTGAGCTTGTCAGTTTTCTTGGCATAAGCAAATAGGGAGTTAAAGAAGAGATGGTATACAGTACATAAAAAGAATAACCAATTCTTTTAAAACTGTGCTGTCAATGTAGGTATTATTAAGAAAAAATATATAATCTGGTTGGCATGGTAGGAGAAAAAAAGTGATCCTTCCAGGTGAGGTTTCTCGGTGTGAACTGATAGCTGACCATTAGTTCCTCGTAAACAAAAATGTATTACTGCTTGAAAAGAAATGAAAATGCAGCCACTGGCATTATTAAAACCCTAGGCTGTGTTAGTGCCCCAGCTTGTATTTAGCAAGGAGAAGCATCATCTTCTGCAAATTCTTTTGGTTCACATTCTACTTTAGAGCAACCATTTACCCATCTCTAGGGCTGCCTAGCAGCAAACCCAATGAAACTTTGACTGATCTCGTTTTGGTTTAATGTCCATTTATAGATATGTGAAAGTGGCAACTGTCTCTGATTTCCCCACTTCAGCACCACATGCCATTCTTCCA